AATTGTGCGAACTGCTGTTGCTATTAAAAGTTGATTTTTAAAACTTTATTTGATTTCTCTACCGCATCAACACCCACAGCTTAAAGTCTCCTAATTATAGTTATAAATTTAAAAACACTATACACGGAAAATCTCAGAATTCTAATAATGAAATATGAAATTGAAGGGGCATCTTTAAATTATCTATATATCCTATCTAATAATAGACAAATAGGGTAATTAACCATACCTCCGCTACGCTTCCCATGGGCTAATCAGCACAATATGCAAATTAATCGCCAACAAGATGGTGGTAAATTTGCATACTGAAGGCGGGCAGTAGCGCGTGAGGCCGTCCACGATCATGGGACCCGGATCCGTGACCTGGCAGGCAGGGCGGCAGCGCTTGAGGCTGTCCGTGGTCCTGGGACCCAGATCCGTGACCTGCCGGGTGGGGCGGCAGCACGCAAGACTGCCCACAGTCCCAGGACACAGATCCCTTGTTGGGGTCCCGCCCTGGCAGGTCCAGGGGCTCCCCAAGGTGTGGATGGAGTTGGTGAAGAATGAAGGACACAGAGGCAGCGTTTAGGTGATCATCATAGCCAGGTTCCTCTAGCCAGGATCTCCAGCCAAGTTCTGTAGCCAGGTTCTCTTGCCATGTTCTCTCGCTAGGTTCTCCAGCCAGGTTCTGTCCAGGTTCTCTAGCCATGTTCTCTCACTAGGTTCTCCAGCCAGGTTCTGTCTGCAACTTGCTTTTTAAAATTTAATATATTTTAGACTGCCATATGTTTTTCACATGACCAGAAATCCATCTGTGGGAAGGTTGCAAGAATTGTTTAAAACTATGATGATTGGAGAATATTGAAGCTGGGTATATGCATACTGTTATAACTCAAAAGTTAATCAGATACAAAATGGAGGCTATATTATATACTTGTTTTCCTTTTGTCTACAGTCCCTCAATTTCAGAGTGCAATTAAATTTGAATTGCTCAAAATAACAATTTTACCCAGTTTCAGATGTATTGCAGACTGATCCATTACTTTGTCCAACATGTTTACTGAGGGTATATATGCCCTACACTGTGCCACTTCCTGGTATCACGCAGGCGGCACCAGTCACAGAGTGGCAGTGATAAACCCTCTTGATCTGCTAGTCCCTGATGCGAGATAATTATGTGAAAATGATTTGCTTGAAGTCTCGCGTGGACTGCACCACGTGGTCACATGGGCCACATTTGGTTTTACAGGGACCAGTTCTTCATTGGCTGACTGGTTACCTTTTCATTTTGCTGTATATATTACTTTACTGTTTTATACTTTTTCATGTTGTTTTCAAACAGACTTATTATAGTCAGAAGACAGATTATGATAATTAAACTAATGGTACAGGTACCTCAGATGTGTATACAGCTTTGCTGCTAAGGAAAGAAGAGGTCCAATGATTTGGCTTAGGAGCAATAGACTCCCTGGTTCTTCAGTTTACAAAGATGGGAAAAAGTGAATGAACACAGGGGGGCAGCATAATCCTGGTTGACAGTGAGCTTGGTGCTTTTATTGACTCAAAACCTCTACTTTGGAATGTGTCGTATATATTCAGCCCAGCTGTAAAATGCTATTTTAGTGGGCACCTGTTCCCTGATTCAGAGTTTGATTTTATACTTTGTCATGATGCTTACTAGGCATCAGCAGGAAATAACTTTTGCCTTAGATGATGTGTGTGTGTGTGTGGTATTTTTTGTTGTTGTTAATCCTCACCCAAGGGTATTTTTCCCACTGATTTTTAGGGAGAGTGGAAGGGAAAGGAAGAGACACACACACACACAGAGACATCGATGTGAGAGAGACACTTCAATTAGTTGCCTCCCACACACGCCCCGACTGGGGCTGGGGATTGAGCCTGCAACTAAGGTATGTGCCCTGACTGGAATTGAAACGTGACCCTTCAGTCCGTGGGCCGACACTATAACCACTGTGCAAAGCTGGCTAGGGCAGATGATCTGGTTTTGAATTTCTACTTTGCCAGGTGGCATCATGACAAGTGTCTTAAACTCTCAAAGCCTCAGTTTCCTTATTTGCACAAAAGGAATCAAATGAGACCCCATATTGGGAAGCAAGCTGTCAATTCTGATATGCTTTATAAATGCTAGATATTTCTGGAACCAATATTTTTATTAAAATTATTTTTCTTGAAATCTCATTTGTTTTCTTTTGGGGGGAGTACTTGTTCACTGGTGGTATTGATGATGTCCCTGTCTGTGCCATTAGCCTGTTAAGAACATGATGGAGTTTTTTTCAGACATTTCGCTTGGCCTATGAGAATTGCTTAGCCTGTGTATATGCTTATTATTTACAACCGAGGCTCTTGCTATAATAATCCTGTGGTGTGCTGACATTTTTACACTGATAATAGCAGGTAAACACATACGCTCTGCACTTCATATGTGTTTGTTATTTGTCCTCACAATAGCCCTAAGATGCAGGTACTGTTATGAGTTTTACATTTTCCTGAAGAGGAAACTGAAGTTAAGGAGTTTACATAATTTGTTCAAAGCCACATCACTAGTAATCGGTGAAGCAAGGATTCAAACCCAGCTCTGTCTGAATCTAGAAGTTGAGTTCCTAACCAGTGTACTGTAGGCTTCAGTAGAAAGTTGTATTTTGTTGCTAGTGATGGGTGAGGAAATGGTCACATCACTTCCATTTTTTGTTTGCACTTCTGAGATCACTGAATGGAGGAAGTCTCTCTGGCCAGTAAAAGTGAAGAGCAGTTGAAAGGCTCCATCTAATGTATTTATAACATCACAGTGTGTGGAGATTGGATTTGAGTGCAGAAAGAATAGAAGAAGGGTGACCAGCTAGGACAGTGATGGTGAACCTTTTGAGCTTGGCATGTCAGCATTTTGAAAAACCCTAACTTAACTCTGGTGCCGTGTCACATATAGAAATTTTTTGATATTTGCAACCATAGTAAAACAAAGACTTATATTTTTGATATTTATTTTATATATTTAAATGCCATTTAACAAAGAAAAATCAACCAAAAAAATGAGTTCGTGTGTCACCTCTGACACGCGTGTCATAGGTTCGCCATCACTGAGCTAGGAGGTCATGACAGTAGTCCAGGAGAGAGGGGATGGGGGCTTGGACTAGGGTAGTAGTAGCTATAAAGATGGAGAGAAGGGGACAGTTTTTAGATTTATTTTGGAGACAGAGTCAACAGGACTTGCTAATGGATTGATGTAAGGAGTGAAAGAGTAGAATCAAGGATAAACTCTAGATTTTTGGCTTGAGCAACTGATTCCTCTGATGGGAAGATAGAGAAGAACTTATTTGTGGGGGGAAAAAAATCAAGAGTTCTATTTTGGACCTGTTTGGATACACTATAAGACATTTATGGTGAGACCTGAATGATGAATAAGAGTAGAATCAAGGATAAAGCCTAGATTTTTGGTTTGAGCAACTGATTCCTCTGATGGGAAGATAGGGGAGAGCTTATTTGTGGGGGGAAAAATCAAGAGTTCTGTTTTTGGATACACTATAAGACATTTATGGTGAGGCTTGAATGACGAATAGGATCTCAACAAGATGGGAAGGAAGAAAAGACATTTTAGAAGGAACAGCCCAAGCTGAGCAAGTGCATAGAAGAGGAGGGAAAGAGACCTTGTTAGCTTATTGTGGCTGGAGATGTCTGAGAGGGGAAGAGTAGAAAGAAAGGAAAAAAGTAGAAAGAAATTATGATGAAAAATCTAGAATGCTTTCTTTTACACATTTATCCTTACAAGAACCCAGCAAGTGGAATGAATAGGAAGAAATGAATTCATTGTATTATTTGATAGAAGGTGAGTTATTTTCTACAGTTGATATACCAAGAATTCCTGTCACAAATAAAATGGCGGTCACCAAACGGTAATGTTACCTCATGGACTACGTTACTCTTTTGGCAGCACTCTGTACAGGGGCCGCTCTCAGTCCAAACCACTGGTGTAGCACCTGCTGTGTAGACAAGGAGGGCTCAGCTGGCAGCTGCTCCATCCTTTAGTTCAGCCATTCTCAATCCTACTAGACCTAAGATCTTCTTTTGGTAGTGAGTATTTTGTAGCATCCTCTTACCATATTGAAATACTAGTAAATAGTAATAGTTAATAGAACCAACTTATACAAATCACAGTATTTGAACTGTAATATAAAGGAGAAATGAAAAGAAAGTGATGTAAAATAAAATGACATGCATATTAACATGTGAACGTTGAGCATATTGAAGTATTTAGATGTGACGTGATTTTCAAAATGCCCAAAGGATCTCAGTAAAGATCCAAACAGCAAAGTACAGTTTTTCCTTCATGTACGCAGTAACCGCATTCCTGAATATCCAGTGTATTTTAAAATTGTGCAAAAAAGTGCTTTGTGTTTATATGTAACAGTTAGGTTCCAGGCTCTGATAGTTATAAAATAGCTTCTCACTTGGAAGAATGTCTGGCAGGATGTTAGAAGGTTGTGCAGGAGTGTCTTGAGCATTGCAGGGGCTGTTAACTACCCTGGTGTTGGCACCCGCCCAGCTCTGCTCTGAGCCACTGGGACATTAGCATCCCTATGAACACATTGAACTCCAGTCTGCACTGTATCTTTTGCATGAACAGGGCATTGTCTGCCTTATTCCTATTCTACCCTTAGGCCTGGCCCATGGTATGTCCTTAGAAAACATTTGTTGAAGGAAAGAATGGATGGATGGATGGATGGAAAGAAATTTTCCTCTTTGTTCTGTTTTGTAGAACAACCCTTTAGATAGTGTTTTATCTCTGTCAGGACAGTGGGGAGGGTTTTGAAACTTGTCCATGAGATAAAAAGTAGTAGAAGTCATCTGACTCTTGAATAACAGGTACTGCATTCAAAATGTCTATTTTTATCTGTGTGCCTTCTCTGCTATCACCTATCTAAGCTTTTATTTTGTTAAACTTGGGATGTAGATACATCATTTTTCAGAACATAAATCTACTTCTGACTTTTCTTCTTCCTTCCTAGTGTGGGAAGAGTTGGCCTACTATGAAGAAAACACACGGGAATTTCTTTTTCCTGAGCCCAAGCTGACACCTTCAATCCCTGGCATAGGTAGGGAGGTGCTCATGAAAACGGCTGCAGGTTTTCCAGTAAGTGATCTGTGCCCAGCTGGCTTCTGTTGGAAAAGCAATTCTTAGGACCTGAGCATTTTATTCCTGATAGGGCTTGCTCTTGGACTGATCACTTTATCTTGGTCAGTGCCCCTGTTAATTCCGTTTAGCAGTCTTGTTTAGATGCCCCACTCGGAATGCCAAATTACACTGATTCCCATTATTGATCTGGGAGGTGGGAGTCTTACCTAATCTGGCTAAATCATTGCCATATTCACACTGTCACATAATTATAAGGATGATTTTTTTTTACTTCCTCTGAATGCAGATTAGCTGAAAGATTTTGTCAATTTAATTACAGCTATTATTTTAGCAGTAATAAGAGTAGATAGGGTAGTAATAGTAATAATGCTCCTTCTCATTTATTTTGCCCATTGGTTTTTCATATGATATCTTATTTTCCCCATAACAGTTCTCAGGTGAGCTGAGGCAGATACTATGGCCTCCACTTAATGGAGGGGAAACTGGCAGAGGTTCACTGACTGGTACTAACGAAGGATATTAAAAGATAGGGCAGTTATTCAATCAATAACCTAATAGCTTGGGGGCATTATCTGAACCCAAATTTGAATATTCATTTTGATGTTATCTGTGATAATTTCTGACTCTGCAGCAACTCTGTTGTTGGAATGCCTGGGTTCAGTAACCAGCTTTGCCATCACTAGGTGGACAAGTTACTCTCTGTGTCTTAGTTTCCTCCTCTACAAAGTATAGATACTGGATATTACTAGTACCCACTTTATGGGGTTGTTTTGAGGATTAGATGAGTTACTATATGCTCTGTCTTTTGGTTTTGTTCCATCCACCAAAAGGGTGGATTACAAACTGGACAAGTTACTCTCTGTGCGAGCCGACTTAACTCGTTTATAGATACTGGATATTACTAGTACCCACTTTATGGGGTTGTTTTGAGGATTAGATGAGTTACTATATGCAAAGCACTTAGGTCAGGGCATATAATACAATTTATGTAAGTGTTTAGCTATTCTTATTAAGTATATGTTATACTAGTATTTTATTTTTCATCTTTATTGCTGTCTAATTGAAAAATAAAAATTGTATCCATTTAAAGTGTACAACTTGATGTTTTTATATATATCTACATTGTGAAATAATTGCCACACGCTAATGATCATATCCATCATTTACTGTTACTAGTTACCATTTTCTTTTCTTTTGTGGTGAGAACATTTAAGGTCTACCTTCTTAGAAATTTCAAATATAAAATATAGTATTGTTAACTATAGTCACATTACTGTACATTAGATCCCCAGAATTTATTCATCTTGCATAATGAGACATTGTACCCTTTGACCAACATCTACCCATTTCCCCCATCCTCCAGCCCCTGGCAACCAGCATTATACTTTCTGCTTCTGTGAGTCTGACTATATTAGATTCCCTATATAAGTGAGATAATACAGTATTAATTTTTTCGTGTCTGGCTTATTTCACTTAGCATAATGTCTACCAGGTTCTTCTATGTTGTTGAAAATGGTAAGATGTCCTTCTTTTTAAAGGCCGAATAATATTTCATTGTGTACATATATTTGTTATGTGCATATTTTAGGTAATGAATATGGATAATGCCAACCACACAAAAGAGCAATTAAATTCTTGCACGATTTCAAATTAGGATGAGATAGGCAGAAAAACTGTTTCCAGTAATTTTGTTTGCTTCTTTTATGCTGTTTTATTTTTAGGGTATTGCTCCAAAAATAGAGTTTTCTACAAGGACAGCCATCAGAGAATGTGTGTTTCTGCATAGAAACAGATTTTTTGTAAGTATAACCAAGAAGCCAATAATAGAAATGTCAGGAATTTTCTCCACAAATTTAAAAAACTCAGTTTACCAAGTTTAGATGCAACTGGATAAATAAAAACCTGGAGACTTATTGCTAGTTTTGAATTTATTCAAACTATTTGCTCTGCCTGTCACATTAGACTGAGTATGTTTGGCACATATTCATCAAGGTATAGTTGGGGGAGCAGAATGATCTAGGGTTAAGATCACAAGTTTGATGTGTAAACTAGTTAGCTTTTTTGGTTGTTGTTTCATGACTTTTATTCTTTTTTGTCACTGTTGTTAATCCTCACCCGAGGATACTTTTCCATTTCTGGAGAGAGTAGAAGGGAGAGGGAGAGACAGACAGAGAGAAACATCTATTTGAGAAAGATACATCGATTGGTCACCTCCTGCAAGTGCCCCAACCAGGGCTGGGATCGAGTCTGCAACTGAGGTACATGTCCTTAACTGGTATCAAAGCCGGGACCCTTTAGTCCATGGGCCAACGCTCTACCCACTGAGCCAAACTGGCTAGGGCAGTGGTCGGCAAACTCATTAGTCAACAGAGCCAAATATCAACAGTACAACGATTGAAATTTCTTTTGAGAGCCAAATTTTTTAAACTTAAACTATACAGGCAAGTACATTGTTATTAACTTAATTAGGTTACTCCTAAGGCTTAGGAAGAGCCACACTCAAGGGGCCAAAGAGCCGCTTGTGGCTCGCGAGCCGCAGTTTGCCGACCACGGGGCTAGGGCAATGACTTTTATTCTTGATCGTATGAACAGTAGTGTTTCCGTCTCCCTTACGCTGAAGCTGAAGCTCAGAGTTGTATTCATGGCCATTGTTGGTAACCATGAAGAGTCTTGGGCATCCATAAGCACTACCTCTATTTCCCTCTCTTGTTCAGCCCTAACTTCCCCTTCACTCTGATTTATTTCCATGTTTCTTTTTATCTTATTGTACACAAATTTTGTAACCCTTTAAAGTCCTTTCTAGGACAGTCTGGAAGTGAATGAATGTAATTTGTAAAGCTTCTTTAAATACTTGTTGTTTTTTTTTTAATATATTTTATTGATTTTTTACAGAGAGGAAGGGAGAGAGATAGAGAGTTAGAAACATCGATGAGAGAGAAACATCGATCAGCTGCCTCCTGCATATCTCCCACTGGGGATGTGCCCCCAACCCAGGTACATGCCCTTGACCGGAATCGAACCTGGGACCCTTCAGTCCGCAGGCCGACGCTCTATCCACTGAGCCAAACCGGTTTTGGCTCTTTAAATACTTGTTATCCTAAATCTTGCCTGATCCTCTAGAACAGTGGTCGGCAAACTGCGGCTCACGAGCCACATGCGGCTCTTTGGCCCCTTGAGTGTGGCCACGAAGTTTCAATCGCACTGTACGTGTGCGCCCGCACGTGGTATTTTGTGGAAGAGCCACACTCAAGGGGCCACAGTTTGCCGACCACTGCTTAAAAATGTGGGCTGTGGATACTGAATGACAAGGGTCTGTGCAAATCCATCAATCCTGTGGGCATTATAACTCCTATAATTGGAGACCAATGATTACTTTTAAGGAAAGCATTAGCTGCTTTTTAGTTTTTCTTTCTTTACCCACTACTTTCTTCAATCTGTTTGATATGTGCACAGTGAGTTTTTCAATCTTTTTTCTTTAAAACCTCCTAATATATATCTTCATTTTAAGCCTTAACTTTTAAAAGTAGTATCTTTTATTCTTTCTTATAACAGAAGTATCCCACTTATTTTGAAAAATTATAAAATATGAATAAGCAAAAGGACATAAAAATTATGTTATTCTTACTATCTAGAGATGATATGACTAATTTTTGAGTATATTCTGCTATACAACACACTTTTATTTTAAGAAATTAACATCATACTATTTTGTACCCTTTCTTTTTTACTTAATATACCATGCACATGTCCTGATGTCCTTAAGTACTTTTATACCAGGCCAATCTTCATGGCTTCATTGCCATTGCACGGTAGTGCCATAATTTGTTTGGCCAATCATTTTCCTATTGTTGGGCACTTAGCTGACATGTCACAGTCCAGTCAGAAAACAAACCACACATGTTATTTTAACAGAAAGATTTCATGTAAAAGAGAAAGGCTAAATAGGGGATGGAATGCTGAGAGGTAAAGGGTAACACTGAAGTGATGGGGATAGTGACCGCAGGAAGCAGCTCCACCCATAAGGCTGAGGAAACAAAGGGAAGAGCGTGGAAGCTTGAGGAAGAGAACCCATAGAAAGGGGACCCCATAGCAAAGGGACCTGGGGAGAGGCTGCCTTCCTGGGTGCTTCTTCAGGAAATCAAAGGTAGGACTTCGATGAGCTGGGACTCAGACCTCTAAGGAGGGACACTGCTCATTGCTGGTGCCTCGGATTCCATGGGGCGAGATTCAAATCCCTGAGTGCTGGAATGCCTGAGGGGGGCACAATGAGACTAGTTCCGGGATTATTGGAGTGGGGAGAACTATAAACTGGAACCATTTGCTGTTGCCAAGGTGAAGAATGGTTGCTGGGGTGATGCTGTCAGGAATAGGATGCAAAACTGGAAGTGGCCAGCTCTGTCTTCCTGATTCTGTCTTGCAGTCTCCCTCTAGTGCTTTCTAGTGGTAGAGCCTAACAATAGCTGGAAAAGCACAGGGGGTTTGCAGAGTGCCAGCCCTCCTATCATGAAGCTGAGTATAGAAAGGTGGGTTTGGGACAGGGGAAAGACACTTGCTTACTCACCGTTCACCAATGTGGTTGGTTTCTCACTTTGGAACTGTTATATAAGAATTTTTTTTTAGCTAAATACATAGCCATAATTATTTCCTTATAATAAATTAGTTGAAGTTAAATGGCTGGATCCAAGTATATGCCAGTTCTCAATCTCAATATCTCTTGATGTCTTTCTATAGATCAATCATCTATCTATAACTGGGGGAAGTGTCTGATACTTTCCAACTGTCTCCTAATGCAAATAAATCTCACTGGTATTTGAAATATAACATACTAGTGAGTTATAAATACTAGTGATGTTAAGCTGAACTGAAGAAAAATTAAGTAGAGAAATGCCCTTCCTTGAGTTCCTGTTTTATAAATCTAAGGTGTTCAGTCTTCTACCTTAGTTAACAAAGTTCAATTAAATGCAGTAATATTCTGCTTGAATCCGCCCCCCCCCCCCAATTTTTGTTTTTAAAAGAATTGTTTCTCCTTTTTGGTTCCAGGAAGAAATATTTAAGTCACGAAGGCCTTTATTTACATCATATGGACCAACATTCCCCTTAAAAAATAAACATATGAAGCGAAGAGAAATTAATCTCAACAGATTGCCCCAATGCGTACAATTCTGGGAGCCCTGTCCATATTCTACCAGACGTTTCTTCCAGGACCAACCAGCTCAACTGAACCTTGGAAATAATTTCAGAATCCCTGGAGAAAGCAAACCTCCATTTGTAGTTAGACATGTGAGCCTAAAATTATTTATCAGAGTTCTTTGGGATGGTGAGGTTGTGAATGAGTTCAGAATACAAGAAGTTTGCAGTATAAAAATAATTGGGTAACATTAAAAAGGGAATTCAAACTGAATAGTAATGATGATTAAACTATGTTATCTTTCTAGAATCATATTCAGGAAGCTCTATAGAGATGTCTTGTACAGAGGATTTGCTCAGTAAATGTCAGCCATCCCTGTGTTTAATTTTCGAAAATTATTGAGTGTGATGTCTACACGTGGCAACTCACCATTTATCCAGAAGAATCAGTGAACTGATGGGTGCAAGACACATACAAAGGCTGGCATATACTCTGTACAATCTAAAACTAAAGTTTCATCAGTTTCAAAGGAAACTGCTTGAGTTTTTTAAATAAGGTTGTTGCTAATTAGCCATACTTTAAAGAGCAGGGGAAAAAAATGTATCTGCAGGAAGAAGCAATGATGTGTCATATCCAAAACCCTTGATCAACCTTCAGGGAGAAGTGGGCAAATTTAATAACATTAGTTCTTTTAGTCTCCTTAATTTTTTTAACTATTATAAAAGTAATGGAAAATGTTCAAAAAAAATTACCCATAGGTTCACCAGTATAATAAAAATAAATAAGTATTTAATTAAATGCATTTTCTTTAATCTTTTTAATATTCATAAGACTTTTTTCCTACAAAGTCATAGTCATACTGTAGTATATACAGATTAGTTTCTCAACATATACAATTAATATTACATTAGAAGCATTTTTTATTATTTGCTATTCTTCATTAACATCAGTCCATGTTCTAGGTTCATGACTTATTCTCCAGTCGTTCTTATAACTCCAGAAGTTAACTGTTGATAATGTAAAGTGTGATAATTTGACTTACAGTCATTACTGGTGATGGTTGGTGGTATTTGAACACAAAACCCTGTTTGCAAGATCATGTTGGTCCCATTTATGACAATAATGGTCAACTTAAGTAATAGAAATCGTAGTCACCACTGATTCTTTTTTTCAAGGGTATAGACACTCAGATTGGTCTGGAATGTGAAAGACCGAACTGTGTGACCTTGTGGTAATTCCCAGGCTAGCACTGCCCAGACTGTTCAGGAACATGAAACTCTTTTATTTATTTATTATTTATTTATTTGATAGTATTAAAGATATCTTTTCAGCACTGCCCCCCCCCCCCTTACCTCCCTTGTCCTGTTTTAAAAGAATGCAAAATTAGCTTCACTTGGTCTCTTCTGGGCTTGACTTACCAGTGGTTAGGATGTAACTTGTGCCCATCGTTATTTCTTTATGCTAACATTCAGCCCATCTCTTCGTGTTAGCCTTGGTGAAGAGAGGGACAAACAGCTTCCCCCTATCGGGATAACATTTAACGTACATTGAGCCTGTGATTTAATTTGTTCCCAACTTCCTTTTCTCACTTGCATGACTGACGGGGAGAAAGGCACTACAGGTAATGTGGAGAGGGTAATACAAGCCACGGTGGGTTTATGTCTTATTTCTCTCCTTTTCTTTCAGGTGGACAGTGCAAAGCCCTTTGGTGAGGACATTTCAGAGCATTATTCCCGGAAGTCTAGAAGAAAATCTAAGTTTCCAAACTTTCCCTTTCCCATGAGAAGAGGTACTCAAGTTTCTTGTCATTCCTGTGTATTTCTCTATGGGAGCAAATGCATCCTACTTCTAAATCTTTCATTCTGCGGAATGTTTTCTTTGGGAACTTGGAGTTTAATTCTCAAGTACTCTCCAGCGGTGGAGTTTCCAGGGAAGGAGTTCCTACCGAGCAGAGTCAGCAGAGAAGCTGTTTCAGAAGCTGTTTCACCAGGGCACCCACTGTGCTCTGGTTGCATTCATTTCCTGGCTGGGCTGGAAAAGCAGAGAGCAGTTTATTCTGGTGTGAACTTCTTGCAAATGCACCATTAATAGCCAACAAATAAGACTCGCCATTTCTGTGGATGGGAAAGAGCAGGGGATTGGTGATCAGAAGAGTGTATAACACTTGCTTTACAAGATTCCATGTTAGCGAGGAGGGGAGCCAACTCTATCTGAAGCAGTTAGATTAAGGCAGGGGATCGCAAACTGTCAGGTGTCAGGACCCTTTTGCATTCTTCTTTAAAAAAATGTTTTTATTGACTTGAGAGGGAGAGGGAGGGAGGGAGAGAGGGGGGAGAGAGAGAGAGAGAGAGAGAGAGAGAGAAAAGAGAGAGGGGGAGAGAAAGAAACATTGATGTCAGAAAAAAACATTGACCTGTTGCCTTTCCCACAAACCGTGACTGGGGATCAAACCTAAAACCTGAAACCTGGGCATGTGCCCTGACCAGGAATTGAACTGTGACCTCCTGGTTAATAGATCGATGCTCAACCACTGAGCCATGCCAACCAAGGACCGAGTACAATTTGACACAGAAAGTGCTTTATCACCTCTGACATTTAATTTAAGTCGTTTGGTTTGAAGATCACCTGGGTAGCCTATAAAGGCAGCGCTGCCTTCCCTATTACTGGGAAACCAAGCAACAGCAAATGTCCTTTCCCAGAGAGGACACCTTGGGCTTAATGCTGGCCCAATTATGATAGCACTCATACATCACAGTGGTCTCGGCCTTTATCTGTTCTTAATCCTGGCAGGTGGAGATGTAAGGTTCCAGAGAGGTTACAGAATGTGTACAGGTCACATACCAAGTTTTTGGCAAACCTACATTTAGAAAAGACGTTCAGACCTCTGGGCTCAGATCCTGTAGCTTCCAAGCCAGACCTTTGCTTAGGTCACTGTCAGCTCATTCATCCAGGCCTAAGGTAGAATAAAGCAGTGCTTCTCAAATTTGAATGTGCATTTGAATCACCCCGGGATCTTGTTAAACTGCAGATTCTGACTCAGTGGGGATGGGGTGAGGGCCTGTGATCTTTCTTTTCTAACAAGCTTCCAGGTGATACAGATATCACTGGTCCATGGACTGCATTTTGAGAAGCAAAGGAACAAAGGCAAGCCCCCTGGGGAAGTGAGCGCTCAACATCAGGCACAGGGGACTCTAGGGCAGGTTTGTGGCTATAGCTGGGAAGGGCCTTAGCACTGCTGATTCCCTGCTCAGCTGGAGAAGAGAGCTTCTGGGACAAGAGGGACACATATATATGCATGCCCAGAGGATGTGACAATTGCCAGGCTTTAAAATCCCCTTTTATAGCTTCCTTTTTACTGCCAGTGGCACAAGGGGAATCAGCAATTCAGGAAAAGTTCCTTGTCACTGCTTAGGCCCCAGTCATGGGGGGGAGGGAGTGGGGGGCAGCGGCAGTGGGGGGTGGTGGGGTGGTGGGGAGAGCACGGTGGCCATAGCATGGCCTTGCAAATATTCATTTCAAAAGCATTTCTTTTTTCTCAACCTGGAAAAATCCAGTTTAATCTTGGTTTCGTATGTATATTAATATATTCACTTTCTAGTCCTTCTTACCATTCTCTGGCATTAGATCTACTTACGTATTATGAGTATTTAGGGTAATCCTAATGATTTATACTTTTGGTGCATCGTGTTTCTGCAAGCTCTTGCATATCCATTGTCTCAACCTAACATTTATGTCTACCTTGGACAAGTATACTCAAGAATTTCTGCATAAATAAGATTCCACAAAAACCAAATGTGAAAGGAATGGCAGAAGAGGAAGAGTATATGCATTTTATATTTGAGCCACACGGCTTTCTTGTAGGCTTCCAGGCTGTTGAAGGGTTACTGAACTTACTGCTTCACTTTAGACTCTCTTTTACCCTTCCCGTAGCCATGCGTGCTATGGGAAGTCATGGATAATATAACCTCATTGCTGAGCTCAGGAGGACAGAAAAACTCGGAGAGAGAGTTGCTGTGACTCAAGGGAGTTTAAAAAGTGATAGTGTAACTTACAAGGGAGCATTTACTAGTAAGTTCTATCATAATTCATTCATTGTGTAATATTTTTGTACTGCTGTGGAATAAGTGTAACAGCAGTTTTTAGGGGTAACTGATAATAATGAGTCATTGAATCACCTGTTCCTCTTTCTTCTAGCTTCTTCTCTTGACAGCCTTGCAGCTAACGTAAAGGTAATTTTAGAAGTAGCATTAGTAAAATAACTTATTTCCAGCTATCTAATGTTAATTACTGTGCTTCCGCCAAGGAGTGGTGAGAAGTATACTTCTAGCCAGTGCTGCTTATGGAATTGCTACAGTTAAATTGGAGTTTAAAAGGTGCCCTGGCTCCACTGTCTGCTTTGCTTCCACTTGTTTGTTCCCTCATAAACACTTTTCTTTTTCATCTGTGGGATGAATCAGGAGTGAGGGCATATGTAGGCCCAATACCTACTTTTATCAGTAGGATTTTCATTGCTTTTTCTTCAATCAAATACTTTTAGACATAGTGGTGATAAATCACTTGTTCTTGAAGTTTAATTGGCTTTCCAGGTGAAGAGGTAAAGTTCTGTATTAAATGGATATATGCAAAGAAAACGGAGTATACTGTGCTTCTTATGCCAGAGCATTTAAATATTTTGTTTAAAAAGGGAATCTTTCTAGCGGGTAAAAAAAAGAAAGAAAGAAAGAAAGAAAGAAAGAAAGAAAGAAAGAAAGAAAGAAAGGAAGAAAGAAAGGAAGGAAGGAAGGAAGAAAGAAGGAAATCTTTCCCAAACCCAGTAATCTCCAGGCCTCCCAAATTTAAGTTCAGAGCATGAATTTATTTTGGCTTGTTAACTCATGCCAGACATAGAGAATTTTAGTTATCTCTCCTTGACCTCTTCTCCTGAGCATTTGTCTTTAGTCTTCTCTGCACACCCCCATCCCAGGGCGGGTATTCTATCCTTCTCACAATTCTCTTCCTTGTCCCACCCAACCCCAGCTTTGAATTAAGCAAACAAAAGCAAAACTATAACTAAAAAATAATGCACATTGTCACACAGGTTATCAAAGAGCCAGATGAACGGATTTTTTTAAGGCATCAATCACCATCACCGTTGTGTCCGAGAAAGTTTAGAAAGCCCTCGCCCAGTTACAGTAACCAAGGGGATGAGGATTTCCACCTGGGAACTTCATTCTCCACCTCCCGGCACTCCAGGTCTCCCAGCCCTCCTCTGGATCAGTGCCTGCTCCGAGGAAGGTCAGCGGCAAGCGCCCGTCTCTTTGCGTGAAGAGTGTCTGTGTTCTGGCAGGAGGAACGCCAGGTCACCTCACCAGTTTGCTTCCTCAGGGACATTCAGCTGGGGACCCCTTGATCTAAAAAATTATTATTTCTTTAAATGTCTTCCCCAAAGTAAAAATTCTGCCTTTCTCTTGCCTCTGGAAAATATATCTCAGGGTGTTTGTTGGGAATGGGATAGACAGCTAACTTGACATAAGTGCTATTTATCCATTTTTAGATGTTATGCATTTTAAAACTCAATCTTTTGATTTCACCAGTATAACAGTAGTGTTCACTATTTAAATTTAGGAAATTACAGAAAAAAATAAGTGAAAAAAAGATCACCCATAGTCCTGTCACCTAAAGACAAACATTAACAACACCTGAATATATTTTCTTTCTCTTTTTCTAGACATGGTTTCCTGGTTTGTTTATATTATTGTTACAAATTTTAAAAACTGTGATTGCATATGTCCGGAGGGCAGGCCAGAGAGGAACAGGAACCTTGATTTTCCAAATTGCACTCTCTAGTCTCATGATTAACCATCTGGTTTGCCTAGGACTGTCCTGTTTTAACCCTGACAGTCTGGCATTCTGGGGAAACCCCTTAGTCCCAGGCAAACCAGGGCAGTTGATCACCTTCGATCCAGGGAAGTGGCACCAAGGATAATATTAGTGAGATAGTGGTTTTGAGTAAAGGATACGCAGTCTGCTTTACTTTGCAATATTAGTGATGAGAATAAGGTAAGTCCTTATATCACAATAACACAGTTGCTTACAAAGGGACTCAGTAAGTATCTCTAAACAAGATTTTCATAATCTATTTGCTATTTCTGCATCAGAATTTAAGAGCTCATACCCACCCCCTCCCAAAAATGAATGAATGAATTCAATCACCCAAGAAATATTTATTAAATACCTACCATGATATTCAATACCTATGAGGCCCTAGGACAGTGATGGCGAACCTATGACACTCGTGTCAGAGGTGACACGCGAACTCATTTTTTTGGTTGATTTTTCTTTGTTAAATGGCATTTAAATATATAAAATAAATATCAAAGATATAAGTCTTTGTTTTACTATGGTTACAAATATCAAAAAATTTCTATATGTGACACGGCACCAGAGTTAAGTTAGGGTTTTTCAAAATGCTGACACGCCGAGCTCAAAAGGTTCGCCATCACTGCCCTAGGATGAACTATTAACCTAAGAGTTTCAGTCCCAATTTCAGGCTAGGAGTAGAAAGAGACATGAATCAAATAATGACAAAATATCCACGAGGAGAAGTGCTATCAGTAAGGGGCAAATGAACTCTAAGTGCATAAAATAGGGAAGCGGACTCCCTCTCCATGAAGGGGATCAGGAAGGACCTTCCAAGAAATCTTGAACTGAGCTCTGGAGGGTGGGTAGGAGTTACAGGAGTGGGGATGGGCTGGAGGTGGCGGCCTCCTAGGCAGAGCGAGCAGGGCTGGGAAATGTCTCCGGAAGGAGAAAATGCTTCATGTTCGAGGAACTGGAAGATGCTGTAAGACCTGTGGTTAAGGTTGGGTCTGACTGGCCTAAAGTCAGTGAGATAGCAAATAAAATTCTGAAGGTGGAAAACAATGGGATTAAATTTGGTATTAAAATTTTTGGATTAAATTCTTAAATGTCAAAGCAAGATTTGTTCTTTAGAGAAATATCTAAAACACATAGTAAAGGATGAAGAGGAAAGTCACTCACAGCCAAACCCCCAAACACAAGCCATTCTGAACACTGTGGTGGTTTTTATTCCCAGAGATGGCCTATGCACAGGTTTAATAAAGACATTGAAACCACACTGTACACTATTTTTCATGGTGCTGCATTTTTCTTACTATTAAGTTATAAACATCAACCCATACTGTTATGTACTCTAACTATCCTTTTGTTAAAAAAATATATATTTCATTGACTTTTTACAGAGAGGAAGGGAGAGGGATAGAGAGTTAGAAACATCAATGAGAGAGAAACATCGATCAGCTGCCTCCTGCACACCCCCTACTGGGGATATGCCCACAACCAAGGCACATGCCCTTGACCGGAATCGAACCTGGGACCTTTCAACCTGCAGGCTGACACTCTATCCATCGAGCCAAACCGGTTAGGGCTCTAACTATTCTTTTTATTAGCTGCATAATACTTCACCCTGTTTAATCCGTCCAACAGGTTCCACCCTGGATCTCAGTCCACAGGGAAGAAGATCCATGAAAGGGTATGCAATCTTCTGACATCGCACAGAGCTCGGCAACACCTAAACAAGGTTAGGGCTTCTAGCAAAACTACATCTTTGCTGACAGAATAAGATGGGCCCTGGGACTTAAGAGTTTAGCATGAGAGGCAGACACGAATCAAGTAATCACAGAAATAAATGTAAAATTCTGTGACACTGACCAAGGAGGTACATGGTGTCCTGGGAGTGTAAGAAAAGGGGTACTTGACTTGGTTGGGAGTCAGGGTGGGCTTCCTGCAGAAGAGACAGTGGAACACCTACTGAGCAATGAGCACAGTGTGCGTCAAGAGGAGGTCCTGCAGCAGGAGGGAGCAGGGGCCTTTCAAAGGACTAAGAGAAGGTAGTGTAACTGGCCCCAAGCACATTCCCTCCCACCGGAATTCCATTCCCACACACAGGAATTCTGGTCCAGGGGAGAATCCAGAGAAGTGTGTGTGGTCTGTGTAAGGCCACAGCATGGAAGAAAAGTTTTCCTGAAAACTGTTGAACAAACTCAAAAAGAGTCTGGGGGACTCTTCCCCCTCCCTACATGGGAGTCAGTTCTGTGGGACTCTTTCCCTCTCCCCATGTGGGAGTCTGTACTTATTCTTCGATAAATTTCCACCTTTGCTATAAAAAAAAAGAGTCTGGAGGTTTTGCTAGGAGTAAATGATAGATTTATTCAAGGGTCCTAGAGTTTGCAAATTGGGAACACGAAAGAAAGAAAGAAAGAAAAAAAGAAAGAAAGAAAGAAAGAAAGGAAGGAAGGAAGGAAGGAAGGAAGGAAGGAAGGAAGGAAGGAAGGAAGGAAGAAAGAAAGAAAGAAGAAAAGAAAGTAAGGGAAAAAAAAGAAGTTACACTGAGAAGATAGTAACTGGAGTTTGCAAATTGTAACTTCTTCATATATGTGAACCCCACATATACAGCGTATATGGGATTCATAGACCTCTTAAATGCAAAACTATACATCTTGTTATCATTGATCTATATTACATTATGAATAATGCAACTGCTGCATTTGTTTTGTTATAGGAAGATTTTATCTCTGACGTAAATTATACCCTTGAAAGACCAAGCTACCCTCTGAAGAACTACCCAGTGCATGCACAGAGATATTTTTAAGCTGATGTCTTATGTAAGTAAGCAGCTTAAGTGCTGCTTATTATGGTTTTCTAAAATAATCTTAGTTTCCAGCAGTCAAAATGAGGTAACTAGAAAACGTTGTGGACAGGAGATGAGGGAGAGTCCTAAGAACCACATTCTTCCTTCACACAGTATAATAATGACAGAACATATGTGGGTCTGCCAGCTCTCTCTCTCTCTCTCTCTCTCTCTCTCTCTCTCTCTCTCTCTCCCTCTTTCAGCTCCTTGAACACAAGCTTTTTCTGCTGTGAGGCCTTTGCACATGCTTTTTCTCTCTGTCTGGAATACTTCTCTCCTCCCCTACCCCCCACTTTTTTGAATACTTCTTCCCTATCCTACTTGGGTCACTTCTATTTACCCTTCGAGTCTCACGGTGTTCTATGACACTCCCTCCCCCTCTGATGCATACCTTCTTTAGTGCCCTGCACTTTCATAAAGTGTGACACAATTTGTTGTTCTATGTTTATATGGGTTGATTGCTTAAAAGTCTGCCTCTTCTACTTAAGTGAAACCTGTCTCTCCTGCTCCCTGTTTCATAGCCGGCATGTAGTGCCCGACAATGGGATCTCGTTTAACTCAGCCACACATGCCAGGCTTGTGGCCTCAACAAGACTCCCACTCCCACTCCCTACCTGCCGCTGTCTTTGTTTCAGATGACTCCCCACTGTGGTTGGTGCTCAGTAAATATTTTTTGAGTGAAGGTTTAATGAGGGAATGAGGTAGCTCCAGAATTCAGATAAGTGGCAAGTATAGAGTGGGGTATTGTCATTTTTCAGGTATTCTCTTCTTTTCCATTTCTAGCCCAGGACCCAGATAACACTAGGTCTTCATTATCAAGTCCTTCCTGAGTGCCAGGAACTGGCCCCAATACTTCACATCTATTAAATGAGTTAACATTTAATCCTCACAGTCCTGTGAAGTAGTTATTATCACTACCTCCATTTTACAGATAGGGAAACTGAGGCCCAGAGCACTCAGGTGCCTTGCTCAAGGTGACATGGCTAGTGGGTGGCACAGCTGGAATGTGAACCTGGGTATGAGTCTGGCTCCAGCGCCCACGCTGTGAACCATTGCCTTCTAGTGCTTCTCCAAACCTCGAGTGTGTGATAGGAGAACCTGGGGAGAAAGACAAAGAGAGCCCTTTGGAACCCCAGGAGAGCTGGTCTCCCACAAGGATCCTATGGTGCTGTATTAGGAAGTCCCTCATTCTAGCCACTTCAAAATAATTACGAGTCTTTTTAAACAATAAAGGAGTGTAGGATGACATGCTAAGTTTTTACTTAGTTAGGGTCAGGCTCCCAGGGTTGGCCAGGACTCCCCGCCTTCAGTGCAGAGGAATGTGGAGGACAGCTCAGTAATTGCCTAGTCTGCAGGCTTCCACCTTAGGACGTTCTGCTTGGTAGATTAAAGGATGGATTCTGGGCCACTTAATGTCCCGTAGCCAAAACAGCCATCTAGGCATTTATTAGGTGGTTATTCGGAACATAACCCACATAATTACCACTTAGGGAACACGGCCACATAATTGCCAAATGCCAGATTGCGTCGAATTTCAACATAGGTGGTGGCATCGAGTTACAGAGAGTCCTGGAACAGCGGGTATGTGCACACTGATGTGAGGGGATAGAGCGAAGGTGAGAAAAGAATGAGTAAATTCTGCCTTACAAAATGGGTTTCCGAGGTAACCTGAGATCCATGCCAATGGCCTCTACCCCCGCTTGCTGGGTCATGGATGGGTCATGGATTCCTGGTGAGGCAGGGGGCCTGGAGGGCTGTGTTAGCGAAGGTTTTCATGCTTATTAAAAAACCCAGGTGGCGTTGACTGTCTTGAGCACATAGAGCATTTATTAGAAAGATGCCGAGTATCACAGTGAATCCAGAGAAGACCCAGATAAGTAGGGCCAAGCAGGTAACGCTGGGCAGCCGCAGTCACGCCACGAGTTGGGAATACAGTCCCGGAGAGGAGCGCTCGGCAGAAGACCCGGTGGGTTTCCAGGGCACGCCTCCTTCCCTGCTGCTGTTTTACAAACAGTGCTGCACGAACATGCCACACGTCCTAATAGCCGATCCCTCCCACCCCAGAGTAAGCCCCTGGGTTCTCATCTCTGGAATGGAATGTTTTGTCAGACATCGCAGAAACGATACTGTTAACAGAGAAGGTGCTGTCAGTATTCAGCTAACACACTGACTCAAGATACTAATATGCTTGATCATTGGCCACCCCAAATCCTGCTTTGAACCTTTTTTTCCCCGCTGGGGGCGCTCACATCCCACTTCCTGGCACCAGTCACTGAGGGATTGGAGGGCAGCACCGGTTCTTGTCCCTCTCCCACCTTCTCTACTTCTGCTATTTCACTGGTGATCAGCCTGTCCTCTCCTGGTTTCCTAGTGATCTCAAGATTCGGGGGGAATTGAAAAAGTTGAGTCTTGCCACAGAGAGGCCAGGGACTCTTGAGCCAACAAATACGGAGTCCGATTGTCTGACCAGGGAATGGGTAGAAGAAAGGAGTCAAAGGGGTTGGGATATATTTCTTCTTATTCTGGATGGTTTGGGATTTGATATTTTTGATATTAAGTAGATGATCCCTTGTATATTTTTAAGTGGTTAAAATGGTGAACTTTGTGTTATGTGAATTTTATCACAAAAAAATTCCCATAAGTGCACACATACACATGCACACACACACTCTTCCCAGCTCTCTTAGAAGCTTGATTGCCTCTGTGTCCTTGTTCTTCCCAAGTGTGTGAGCTGATCTCCCGTGTCCAGTGTGCGCTCACTGAGATGCCACTCAGAAGGATGGGCTTGTGAGGCCCTCTTCTGTGAAACCTCTGGGTCCCTCAGGAGGAGCCAGGGCCTCTGCCACTTGCTCCTCCGCACGCCTCCACTTGTACTTGTTTCCCTCAGCCTGTGCTGTAATTGGGTTTCCTATGAGCACTCCCCCAAGAAGGGGACAGAGGACGGGAGGGCAAGTCGCTAGGAAGGGAGGGGAGACTGACCACAGGGCACCACCTCTGGCCCCAGGAGTGTTCCACTCCTGTGAGCAGTGTCCTGTGATCCATTTCCACCACCACAGCTGGCCTTCAGGGGGAGCTAGTCCACCTGTAATGCTCCCACCCCGACGGTGAGCCAGGAAACCAGGCACAGACAAGAATGATAGAATAAACTTTTCTAGAATTAAAGAATAGCCAAAAGGAGATAAGCCAAGAAAAGAAAAAATAAATAAAGGACAACAATTAACTGAAGCACAGGTTTCTGATTCTGTCACCTTCAGCTCCTAAGATAGTGGCTAGTATGGCTTCGACCCTTACCTGTCTGCTGGCAGGCAGGAGCTGTTTTACTTCCACCCACAGGGCCCCCTTCGCCTCCAATACAACCAAAGCAAAAAGCAAACCAGACTACAGATTCTAAACTCCCACCTGGGGGACCCTCCCTCTTTGATTTGGTCAGCAGTTTCTGCGGGATTTGTCATTTGGTGGCTTGTGCGGATTGGCTCAATGGGTAATGATGCACCTCCCTTCATCCCAGAAGCTCCTGGTCCTGTCAGAGTCCAAGAGACCCCACAGGCTTGGCTGTGTCCCCGAATCACAAGGCAGACTCCTGAGTCAGCAGTCTTCCATAAATGGCAGAATCACGGGGAGGTGGGAGGGGTGCCCAGGCCCTACTTCAGACCAATTCAATTGGAATCTCTGCGGTAGTGCCCAGTATTTTTATAAAGGTCCTTTGGGGGATTCTGATGCACATTTAGGATTGAGAATCTCTGCAGTAGGCTGCCAGTGCCTGACGACGAGGGACTTGGAACACCCTCCAATCCCATACTGACCCCACTCCACCTTCAAAAATAATTGTTTCATAGAATAGAATTGATTGGGGGCATGGTTAACAGTTTAGCTCAGTGACACCTGACAATTTCCGCTCATTTACCGTGTGCCAAGGACTAGCCTAACGCCTCACAATGACACTCTCCAGAGGTGGCTCCTCTGCTGATCATCATACTCATATTATTCAAAGAGGTCAGGTCACTTGCCCGAGACCACACAGCTGCCTTGTCAGGCTCACAAATATTGCCTCACTCTGCACTGTGAGTGTAGAAGGGGCTCATACACCAAGTGATGAGAGAGAGAGAGAGAGAGAGAGAGAGAGAGAGAGAGAGAGAGAGGCCAAGATTAGGGTAGAATGAGATCATCTCCTTGGTCCTGTTGACTGTTGGCTCTTTTTCTCAGTCCCACCTGTAGGGGAAGCTGAAAGAACGCTGGAGGAGCATCATGAAGAACTCCCTCATCCAGACAACTGGCACGTCCTTAGGGAAACGAACAACAATTGTTTGTTATGTGTATGGAGTTGCTGGTCTCTAATCCCCTTTAAATCAAACCCTGTACTCAATCTTTTGTACCCAGCTAAGAGTCGTTGATTAAAGTCTTCGTCGTTTGGGGCTCAGATTTTCTTGTCAAGCTGGAACATTTGTGTTTTATTTGGTTTGTTTTGAGCTTGAAATAGAAAAATAGCAATAGTTGAGTGGTAGGTGCTTGGAAAGTACTACTTAGATTTCTACTGAAAATGTCAAGATGCCTTTTCAATGTTCCTCATTTGGGCAGTGGAGTGTCCTTGAAAAGTTCTCTTTCTCTCTCTCCCCCTCTTTCCCTCCCTTCTTTCCTCCTTGATTCCCTTCCTTCCTCCCCTTCTCCACCCCCCCTTTCTTTCCAAATCAACTTACAGTTTGCATGAGCTAGAGGAAGTTGCTATTTAGAGGAATAACCCAATCAATCTTCTAGGAAAAGGTTTTCTCTTTTTGGTAAATCTGCTTTTTGTGTTGTTCATTTGTTTTTTAGTGTTAGGCTTGATGTACCTGAAGTTCACTGAACACCTAGGAAGAGGGAGGATTGTATCTGGACAATTCAGATCTTGCTTTAAAGGTTTAATTTCTATAATACATTTGTAGGAGGAGGCTAATTTCTTTGGACCATCGTTTAAACATTTTTTTCTGTCACTACCCCTCCGTTTGTTCAGCGATTCTGAATAAATTCACATGAGAAATAACAGCTTCCTCAAATAGATCTACTTGAAGTCAATAGGCTCTGTAAACATGATTGCCAAAACTGAATTTAAAATCGGTTAGAGCCCTAGCTTGTTTGGCTCAGTGGACTGAGGAGTCCCAGGTTCGATTCTGGCCAAGGGCACATGCCAGGGTTGCAGGCTCAATCCCAGTAGTGGGGGTGCAGGAGGCAGCTGATCAATGATTCTCTCTCATCATTGATGTTTCTATCTCTCTCTCCCTCTCCCTTCCTCTCTGAAATATATATATATATATATATATATATATATATATATATATATATATATATATATTGGTTAGAAAGTTGCCTTTATGAAACGCTTATACAGTTTGGGGGAGCAGGAAGAGGACGGAGTGGGAGGAAGTGGGACTAGAGGCGCATTTGTCTTCATGCGTATAGACCCAGAGAAGAGGGGCCTGAAATGGAGACCTTTTTCCCTCAGACTACAACCTGGGCACTTTGCTCTACCTGACACTGAAACCACTTTCGATTTTGGAAGATTCAGAGAAGAGTCCAGTTTCCTTTTCTCATTATGACCACAGGAACTAGGTAAATTAGGAAAAGAAAATTGTAAAACAAAACTCATTTATCCTCTTCTCGGAGTTTCCGCCAAATAAAGGTACAGCATACATTACAACAAACATTGCTCCTTTGGAAAACAGACAGCATGCTTAAATTACACCTGCTTATCTGTTCTCAAAGTGCCTGAAACTATAGCTGTCTATTTATTATTTCAGTGTCTAAGGAGTCATCAAAAATAAAAAAATACTGTATTATATTAAGACTGAGGTACAAGTCTCAGAAAAGGGCCTTATAAAGCAGGACAGAAGCAGCCAAAGGAGATCAGTTCTGATGAATTGGTACCCCATGTCAGTTGTTGCTCAAATATACACTGTGACACTCATGTTCAGGTTTTTTTTATGTTCAGTTTTTTTGAGCATAATTCCTTAATTTGATTAATGGATAAAATCTTAAATGCCCATTCTTAAAGTCTTTTTTTTTTCCTTTTTATTTGCACAGCTCAGTCTGCCTTTTTCTCATTTTTGGGTCTGCTAACTCTATTGTTTAAACGAGTCCTACTTAACTTTTTATTTCTCCGGGAATTACTTTAGTTTTGGGGAATCATTTTAGGCCAGGATTGCAGTTGAGACATTTTGGGTTTTTTGTTCGTCTGTTTGTTTGTTTGTTTTTGTGAATCCTCACCTGAGGATATTTTTTCCATTGATTTTTAGAGAGAATGGAAGGAAGGGAGGGAGAGAGAGAGAGAGAGAGAGAGAGAGAGAGAGAGAGAGATGTGAGAGACACACATTGATTGGTTGCCTCCCACACACACCCTGACCAGGGCCAGGGATTGAACCTGCAATTCAGGAACATGTCCTTGACTGGGAATCGAACCCATGACCCCCAGGATCCTTTGGTGCACAGGCCGATGCCCTAACCACTGAACACACTGACCAGGCCAAGACATTTTGCTTTTGGTGTATATGATAACATGAATAATTTTGTGACATCTTGGGGTTTGGATTTCTTTTGGGAAGGCCTGTGTCATTAACCATAATAAAAATCCCCACTTGTCTTCAGTTTATTAGTCCTTTCTTGAGTTTCAGAATTGCTGACCTATGAAAGCTGGGACCATATTTTACAAGTATGCTTCACAGGGGCTGAGTTTTCAGAGACTCTTGGGAAAATCTCCCTTGTGGAGCTTGGGCCCTCTAAGCAAAAGCCACCATCCAGTGAGGCCATTTCCCTGTGGTCACCCGACTGACTCCAAGTTAGCTAAAGCCTGAAGACCCTGAATTATAAATAGGATTTAAAAAACGAGACTGTATATGTCTGTTTTTTAAAAATATGTATTTATTGATTTCAGAGAGGAAGGGAGAGAGAGAGAGATAGAAACATCAATGATGAGAGAGAATCATTGATCGGCTGCCTCCTGCATGCCCCCTACCGGGGATGGAGCCTGCAACCCCGGGCATGCAGGCATGCACCCTGACGGGGAATCTTCCCGGTTCATAGCCTGATACTCAACCACTGAGCACCACCAGATGAGCAAGAGCGTATATGTAAGTTTAACATAAAGGAAGGTGGGTGCTTTTCAGTGTATAATTAGAGGATGAGTGGATTGCATGTGCAAGTTCAGCCTAGCCCCCAGTGCCTGGCCACTCTCAGTAAGAACCCTGGCTCTCTTTGATTGGTTCCGTTAAAGGAGCCCTCGGGCCTCTCTGAGCGCAACCCGAGGAAAGGCCGTGCCCTCTAATCTGTGTGTGACCAACGAACCCGCTAGCACTGCCTGGTGGAACCTCTGTGCTTCTCAGAACAGGGGACCTCTGCCAGCACTCCTCTGGGGTGTGCAGGTCCTGGGGAGAAGCCCCTCCTCTCGCCATGTACTTGGAACTCTGCTGACAGTGAGAAGAGCTAAAACCCTCAGGCTCCCCGGGTCTGTTCCCTCCCAGCCTCCACACTGGGTCTAGGCACAGCAATCATTACTTTGTCATCAGAGGAAAGACCTGTGCTTAGTTTCACCTTCAGAACTAGGAAGTTTGGCAAAAACAGGCTCTTGCCTAGGCCACGAGCTTTCCCCTGGGGCACGTGGGTCCTTTCCAGGAGGGCTGGGTTGTTGGCGCTTCCTCAGCCCAGTGAGGAGCTCCCCCTCTGAAATTTCCCTTTGAGATTCCGTATCTTTTAGAGAGAGCCTCCTGTACCCGGTAAGTCTATATTTTTCTTTCTCCTTATCTTTATTTTAAAAGCAGCTCGTAGCTAGTAATATCCTCAACTACCCATTAGATCCACCTGCTGGGGCTCATTTGCTCTCTGTATTGATCACAGCTTTGCCTCCTCTTCAAGACCAGGCCGGCCAATAGGACAGACAGAATACAGCAAATTGCATGGCGGGGTTTGCTTTGTTTGTGTGGGACGGGCAGGTGGGGAGGGCGCTAATCTTCATCTAGGCAGCGGGAACTTTGAGGAGGCAGCACGGAGTGACTCCGCATTTCATGGCCTGCCCCAGAAATGCTGAAGGGGATCTGAGGGCTGTTAGGTCGCTGAGTCACCAGCATTAGGACTTTCCAATGAAGAGGGTGAAGGAAGACCCTGATGAGGCACAGAGTTGGCTCCAAGGTAAGAGTGTTGAAGTACTTGTGGCCTTTGTTTTGTGTTTGGTTGTGGATGCTTTTGAACCAGCCAGGGTTACTGCATGGATGGGTGTGGAGGGTGATGTATTCTAGGTTCTTCCACAGGGGAGGCCAGGACAAGAGCAATGTAGAGGGGCTTGGGAGAGCTACAGTCTTTTAAAGATCTTCCCACCTAACCTTGGTAAACCCAAATCCCAGCAAAGAATTGGAAAAGGGGCTTTTCCCTTCTTCCTTCCCCCTCTTTCTCTCATTTTTCCATTCCTTTGTTTAGCGCCTCAGTCTGCCAGGCTGTATCAAATGCTTCATGAGGCGTTATCGTGTGGGTGTGAAGACTGAGGCTCTGGAGGTAGAGCACCTAGGTTTGAATCCTGATTCTGCCACTTAGCGGCTGAGTGACTTGGGCAAATAACTTAACCTCCTTGTGCCTCAGTGTCTTTCTTTGTGAAATGCAGGCAATAATAGTAACGCTGTCATAAATAGATGAGTCAACACATTTAAATAAAGCACTTTAAATTGGTGCCTAGAATAAAATAAGCACTCAGTAAGTATTAGTTGTTATTATTTTTATTAAATTATTTGCAGAAAACATTCCCCCCCCCCCTTTTTTTTTTGCTAGGGACACAGGCTCAGAAAAACTAATATGTATCAGAAGCAATTTCCAAACCCTGGTTTGTCTTGTTTCCAAACCTCTTGGGTTTTTTTTTTTTTTCGCTACCACTTTTTACCACCTCTGGGTTGTCACCTGATTGTCCCTGAGGTTGGTGCATGCTGGATAATTCAAGGGGTTGAAAAGTGAACTCAGTGTTTCAGTAGAGTGATGGGACAATTAAGGTCTCTTGCCTGGAGTTGGAATGAGGTTAACCACTTCCTGTTTAGAGCAACAAAAGATGATTTCTGCTCTTATGTCCTGTCATTGGGATATTATGTTTGTAAATAGCCATCCCGCCACCCCAAAATAAATATCCCTGTTCCTTTTCCTCCAGGAACTAACACTCAAATTGCTATCTTGAACTGAGATAAATATCACACCTATTTTAGTGGAATGATTTCCAGGAACAGATTGTATGTGAGAGGTGCCATTGTTGGAAGTGCTGAATTCGTGGTGAGAGTTCCTTGTCATGAAAGCTCATTTGTCATTGCGTAAGGGAAGTTCAACCCGGTTGAATGATGACATCCTTTGTTTACTGAGTCATGCGGTCTCCCAGCCCTGACAGATAACTGCATGAAATCACTCAACTTGTATTTATTCAGCTT